GTCAGGTGGGTGAGGCAGACAGTAAACCAGGACACACACACACAGACACACACACACACACGCGTGCACATTCAGAGAGTGAGGACAGTAGCTTGCTTAGATTCTGGTACCAAGTCAGGGGTGTGTGTGGTTTTTCCACACCACCAAGCACTTCTCTAGCACCAGCCTACAACTGGGCTGATTTCTGATACTGTCTACCTGGAGAGAGCAGCAGATCCCACAGGTTTTATCTGAATTATTTTGGATTTGACAAATGTTCCCTGAGGACTGTACTTAAATCAAAGTTTGTAAGGAAATAAAGCTGACATAAAACTATTTACTCTTTCTTTTTAGAACAATATGAGTTACAGCGGCTCAGAAAAAAATTTTTTAGGCACAAAGTAGCTACGAGTTGGCTCACTCCTAGAAGACTGCCCCCCTTCCAAGCCAATGGAAAGCCCAGGTTGTCCCCTGTGCTTCTGAACGGACTGGCTATAAATTGGGAGGTTTCCATGACCCCCTCCTTGGACTCAACCTGCTAGAGCAGCTCATAGAACTCAGAGGAGCTTTTTCTAAAAAAGATTTTATTTATTTATTTGACAGAGAGAGATATAGCAAGAGCAGGAACACAAGCAGGGGGAGTGGGAGAGGGAGAAGCAGGCTTCCCCGCAGAGCAGGGAGCCCGATGTGGGGCTCGATCCCAGAACCCTGGGATCATGACCTGAGCTGAAGGCAGACACTTAGCGACTGAGCCACCCAGGCGCCCCTCAGAGGAGCTTTTTTACTGATTAGAGTGCCTGTTTCTTATCCAAGGATACAGCTCAGAACGGCCACGTGGAAAAGCTGCGTGGGGTGAAGTACAGGGAAGGGATTCAGAGCTTCCATGCTCTCTCTGAGCGCGCCGCTCTTCCCCAAATACCCATGTGTTCACCAACCTGGAAGCTCTCTGAACTCCATCCTTTGGGGTTTCATGGAGGCTTCATTACAGAAACATAATCAGTTAAATCATTGGCCATTGGTGACTGATTCAACCTTCCCAGAGGTTGGGGAATAGGACTGCAAGTTCCAACCCTATAATCACAGGGTGAGTTCTCCTGGCCTCTAGCCCCCATCCTTCGCTTCAGGTCCAAAAGCACCTTATTGACATAACACAAGACAGCTTCTCTCTCTCATCACTTAGGAAACTCCACAGGTTTTAGGAGGAGGGAATGGGGATAAAGACCAGATATGTATTTTCTATACATCACATATCATACTCGGGTAACATGAGAGAGTGTCCCCTGTAACGTGGGAACAGCATTGGATCAGGTAGTCAGGACAGGGCTCCCTGATTAAACTGAGACCCAAAGGAGAAGCCACTCCAGCAAAGGTCTGTGCAAGGAGCCTCCCAGAAGCTCAACAAATGCAGAGGCCCTGAGTTGAGAAAAAGCTTGTCATGTTCAAAGAACAGAGGAAGTTGTGAATGTGGAAGAGGGAGGGGTGGGGAGCAGTAGGGTGTTGGTCCCAGAGGTGGCTGGACAGGCCCAGACCCAGACCCTGTGGGCTACCGCAGGCCTGGTGAAGCATTCCGCTCTCTTTCTGGGTGCAACGGGCTGTCACCGTAGGACTTTATGCAGGGAGGTGGCGAATTTTCTGTTTTTCTAAGACCTGGCTGCTCAGTGGAGAAGGAAAAGCTGACAGTCATCAAGCCAGTCCAGTGGCCCAGGGGAGAGGGCAGTGCTTTGCGGGAGGGGTAACACTGGAGATGGAGCAGAGGAGCCCGTCCAGGGAGCATCCGGGCATAGCATAGATAAGGATTGCCGATGGGGTTGGGGACCGGAAGTGAGTGGGAAATAATTTATCTTAGTGCGGTATAAAAATGAGAGGACAAGAGAGTCACTTAGAGCATCCAGATTCCATTCCGTTCTAGATCCTGAGTTAAAAGTTATTGCACAGGGCGCCTGGGTGGCTCAGTCGGTTAAGCGACTGCCTTCGGCTCAGGTCATGATCCTGGAGTCCCTGGATCGAGTCCCGCATCGGGCTCCCTGCTCGGCGGGGAGTCTGCTTCTCCCTCTGACCCTCCCGACCCTCCCCCCTCTCATGTGCTCTCTCTCTCAGTCTCTCTCTCTCTCAAATAAATAAATAAAATCTTTAAAAAAAAAAGTTATTGCACATATTTACTATTAGAGCGAAACTGAGCTTTTCCAAAGCAAATGCAATTCAGACACACTCGAAGCATGCTGGCTTTTGTAGTTGGCAGCGATGAATGTAAAGAAATTAACTTAGAAGATGGCAGTTCAGCTCAACACATAATTTCCGCTGGAAGCGTAAGGACAAGCGTAGCCTAAACTGCAGTGGTTAGTTTTGCTAACGGCCTTTGCTTTTCCACAGAGCGCGTAAGTTCCCCGGAACCTATACAAAATTCAAAAGTAGACCTGCATTTAAAAAAGAATCACATTTAGTGGTTTTGCATCCTTGGGCTTCTGAGAAGTCCTTCATCATGGTAGGCAAATCTCAGAAGGTGTTCTGAGATTTGGCACACGGGTCCAAAGGTGCTGGAATCTGCTTCGATCTCCCCTGGGGCCCGCTGGCCCTAGCTGCCTTTTCATCTCATTTTTAAAATCATCCCAGGTGACTTTGAGGTCCATGCGGCTAACCTGGCAACTCGTCAAGAACCTACCCTCAGTGTTCCCATCCTCTCCTTAGAAGGTGGAGGGAGAGGGAGGGATTTCCAGAGAAGGTCTTTCCAGGGGCCGCGGCTGAGCTACGGGGCCCACGGTGGGGAGGAGAGATTTGAACTACAGCTCCAAAGTCCCACCCGCACTGCACCTCACCACCACCACAGGCTCTAGCATTAGGTTTTGTTTTAGTGGAGGCCACAGCAGGTTTAAAAAAGATACACAGTGTGCTGGGCAGTTAGTGCACTTGCCCACTGAGATGGTCCCAGCCCACGTAATTCTGTCATTTTTGAGTCACCAGTATGAACTGAGCTTTATCAGCCAGCGAATGAAACTCAGATCCCCAGTGACACCCCAAATTCCGTGTTCTCATTTCTACCCCCTGCTGCCCCACCAGATGTTTGCAAGAGGCCTCTCTTTAGGATATTTCTAACCCATAGGCCCCCAAAGTTCGTGGGTTCTCAGTAAGGTCAGTTCCTGCCTTTTGCTGTTCTTCTCTTGTTCTGGGTTTGGGTCCTCCCCGCTCCCTCTGACGACGGGGAAAATTGCTCTTCTCACCCCCATCTTGCAGAGAATGGAGCCCGGAGTGAGGCAGGAGAGAGGGAAGCACTGAACGGGGCTGGTTTGGTGGGAGATGTAGGGCTCCAACCTTTGACCCTGGGGTCTTGCTGCTTCATCCCCACGCCTGTTAGACTTAACCCTCCCCTGGTGGTTTTCATTCCCAGGCCCCGTTGGCCTGGTTTCATTCATGAAACCTTTTCCCATCTAGTCCATCAAAGCACATTCAGGTTCTTTCTCCAAGGGCCTCTGGGCTCCCAGCCAACCAGGGATCGTGGCTGGGCACAGTTTTAAGTGCCCCGACAGTGAGGAGGCTGGGCCACCCCAGAGCACCCTGACACCATCCCAGGAGGGTGCTGCTCTGGCCACAGGCTGACCCGAGTCTGGGATCTGGCCAGCCACGGTAGTTTACTACGACAGCGAAATCATGCTTAGGAAACAAAAAGAGAGACATTATGTAAATACGTGTGGGAAATAAGCTCCGAAGCTCACAGATATTTGCTCTGTTGAAAACTTCACCCTCTTTCTGTAGGGCCTTTTCTCAAGCAAAACCTTATAGAGCCCCCGTGTACGAAACAGGTGGCACCCAGGGGACAGGGTCAGACTTCCCTGCTCTTTCAGCCTCTCCCTCTGCTGGGTCCCCCCACCCCCACGCCCACCCCAGAAGTCTTTCCAGGGAATTCTAGGAGTCCTGGGAACGTAACTTGCAAACCGCCACACCGTGACATGAAGATCACAGAAAGGAAGACAGACACCCTGCATGCTGACACTCTTCACGAGCCTTTGTCAGCAACCCCCCTCGCTGCTGGGCCTTCAGCCCACCCCCTGCCTCCATTGGTTCCTATAGCCGCAGACCTGTGCAGGCGGCCACAGTCCCTTGTGGATGGCCGTCTGCTCTCTGCTGCTCCCTCCAGTCCCTCCTCTTGCTGAAATTCACATCTGACTTCGTCATCCCTGAAACGCCTTCGGGGGCTCACCATCCCTCCTAGGATGAAGGCCGCGGGCACTCAGCTCTTTCCTCACGGTTGTCCCTGTCCACCTGTGCCCTTTCTCTGCTACTCCCCAGAAAACATCTGCTTACACGTCCTACCACCCCCCACACCTCCAGCCAGCAGGTGCACTCCTACTTCAGCCCTGGATTCAGGCTGCACATCTGTGGGGAAACCTCCCACTTCCTGCGTCTAAGCCCCGCCCTCACGCCCAGGTTGCTGCACCCCCACCCTGCCCTCCCTGCCCTCGCTGTCTGTTGTTCTGCCTTCTCTGGTGAACTGTGAACTCTGTCTCCTCCACTTACGTAGAAACTCCTTGAGAGCAGAGATATTTCCAGGGGAGGGGAGATGACCCTGCCCTGAGTAAATCCCAAGCCCCCAGCAGATGCGGGACACATAAAGAGCGCTCAACATCGGAATGAATGAATCTTCAAGTTTCCACAAGTGCATTTGTCGAGATGGGAATGGCAGTTATGACATAAACCAGCTCCAAGTTAATAAAATCAGAGATCATCTTTCAGTCTCATATTGTACGCCTTTCAGTCGTTAAGTCTGCTTCAGTGAGATCTCAGGTTTGCAAGGCCGGTTCTATTTGTCGAGGCAGTTGGAGCGTCCACTCTGCAGTGGACGTCTTCCCACCTGCGTGGAATTGGCCGTGGCCGGAACAAACTTCCGCGTTCAGAGTTGATCCCATTCCTAATACAGGGAACAGGGAAGAGTCACGGAAGGGACACGCGCGTGTGTGTGGAGGTGTGCGTGTGAGACGAAAGGCCGGGTCTTTGAATGAACTGCTTACTTGAAAATTGTCTTTCTGCAGGTGATGTGTCACCAATCAGCATGTCTCCCATCAGTCAATCTCAGTTTATCCCACTTGGGGAAATCCTTTGCTTGGCCATCTCGGCAATGAACTCCGCCAGAAAACCTGTCACCCAAGAGGCGCTGATGGAGCACCTGACCACGTGCTTCCCAGGTAACGGGAAAAGAACGTAGCACTTTCCAGATGGGTGTGTGTTCCATTGCTCGAGGACATCACATGGACCATTCCTCTTATTTAAATGTAATAGCAAAAAAATTCTTTGCCAAAACGGGATGGAAACTTTTCTTAGTTCTGTAATTAAAAGCCGAGGCACCTCTGTTACCGCAAAAATACTTTGCCGTCTTCGGGTATTACTGCAATCCTTTTTAAGTTGGCACTGAGAAGAAGACATTAAATCAGAATCCATGAAGAATTCTGGCAAAAACTACCAAGGTTCTGTTCAACGTCACCGTAACCTGCTTTAAAGACATGAACATCATGATTCATGGGAGCAAGTCAGAAAATTTTAGTCCCAAGGGATTACACTAAAGAGACAGTAATGTCAAAAATAAACAGGTCTTGCATGCTTGTGTCATGGCTTGATGAGTTTTAATAATCTGATATTTGATAGATAAGTTAGGATCCCATTTTGAAAGAAAAAAATAAAATGTTTCCTTTTCTCTTAAATATTAGTAAAAGAGGACAATAGGCCAGCTGCTGCATGATTGGCACTGGGTGCCTCCAGTTCAGGAGACATGGGAACAGTGATGAGCTAAAGACTGCATGCCCTATCTCGAGGGAGGTGGCCCACTACTCAGCTCCGGTGTATTGACCCCCCGCCCCAAAATGTGGAAGTCTGCCAGAGTTGCAAATCTCTTACTTTTTCAAGAGAATCTGGACTTTCAATTTTATGTGAAATCTGTAGACCTCCCTCACTATTGGCAGTTGTGTGTGTGTGTTGTGTATGTGTGTATGTTTTAACACATGGGTGCCAGTGACATGCAAGTCCAATAAAACACATTACTGGGCCACCAGTTGGCCAACTTGGCTTGGATTCCAACCTATGCTTACATTAAAAATGAGCCTTTGACACAGGTTTTATGCAACGTAGAAGAGACCTTGGTAAATAGAAACTAGAGGCTGTAGCCGTTAGCTTTTACTACCAAAAGGCCGGGTTACAATCACAGCACATCCGTGGCATACAACAATGGACATTTATTTAGCTCCTGGGTTCCCCAGGAGTCAGCTGATCCAGACTGGACCTGCCCAGGTGGCTCTGCTCCACCTGTCCTCCATCCTCTTTGGAAAATGAGACAAGCAGAGGCCTGTTCTGGGATGACACAGACACAAGAGAACAGGCCCTGTTGTCCAAGGGCTCTTCAGCCCTTTGGTCACACCATACCCGCTAACATTTCATTGGCCAAAGCGAACCTGGCTGAACTCAAGGTTGAGATGTAGGAAAATGTAGGCAGAAGGACTACTTCTAAACTAAATATTCATCTACCATATTGAGTCTCCCCACTTTTCCTTTTGACCCAAAGTAACTTTACATTTCTCTCCCAGTGATTTTTTTCTCCTTCTTCTATTTTCTTTTTTTTTTTAAAGATTTTATTTATTTATTTGAGACAGAGAATGAGATAGAGTATGAGAGGGGGGAGGGTCAGAGGGAGAAGCAGACTCCCCGCCGAGCAGGGAGCCCGATGCGGGACTCGATCCCGGGACTCCAGGATCATGACCTGAGCCGAAGGCAGTCGCTTAACCAACTGAGCCACCCAGGCGCCCCCCTTCTTCTATTTTCTAATTAATGTGTTTTGAAATTATGTATACTGTTTAAAAACTCTTAACACGGACCCACCTTTGCAACCTATACATTGCCTTAAATTTTCTAACGTTATCTCTGAATATTCTTCACTGTCTGATGGTCTTTCCTTGTTAACTTCCAGGCAAACCCTTTTCCTTTCAGTAGTAAGGTAAGCAGAGTCCCAGGTGAGAGCAATCTAAGGAGACAGATGCCGTTCACAGACGTAATGTCCTTGTGAAGAAAGACCCTTCTTGCAGCCTTATACCCAGTTAGCCACTTCTGACATCAAACGTCGCAGCAGCTTTTAAAATCCCTCTATTTTTAAGTAGCTTCATGAGAGATCACATAGCTTTTCCAAAATTGGTTCCATCTCTCCCATTACTGGGCTATAAATAGAGGATGGAAAGAACACAGGGCCAGTATGTAACAGTAAATTGTGAAAAATAGCGAAATCAAATAGTAAATTGTCAAGCAGCTGATTACAATATCACTAAGTTGGAATACTTTGCAGAGAAATTCATAGGTCACCCGTACTTAACAACTGCTTTGCTAGCTTTTATGATAAATGAACTCAAATCTCAAGGCCTTATTGTCAGATGGACTGAGAGGAGCTAACTCAACCTTTTTCATCTTTGTGACACTGATGACTCATTGGTCAACCTCAGATGGCAGGAGCACTGCATAAACCTGAGTCTAGGGCAGGGATTGGCAAACTATGGCTGCAGGCTAAGTGTGGCCCACTGCTTGTGCTTATAAATAAAGTTTTATTGGAACACAGCCTTGCCTATTTGTTTATGTATTGTCTTTGGCTGTTTATGCTGCAGTGACAGAACTGAGTAGTCGCAGCCAGGAGATCATATGGCTCACAAAGTAAAATAATTACTTTCTGGCTCTTTACAGAAAAGGCTTGCCAGCCACTGGTTTAGGGCACGGCAGTAATGATTTAAAGCTTTGTTCAGCAATAGTTCCATATTTTAAACTAGTATTTCATAAAATGAGGTTCTTCCCTGCTTGTCTTCCTTCTTCCTTATCTCTCTTCCTCCTTTCTTTTCTTTTTTTCCTTTGATTTCCTTCTTTTCTTTTGCTAGCATTTAAGGTACTTCAGAACAAAACAATTTAGAAACTTAATACAATTCAAATTCTATTTGAAAATGTATTTTCAATGACAGTGCTAAAACTCTGGAGGGATTTAAATATCATAGTTATGGGGCTTATTTTGTTTTCTTAAGGTAAGACTATTTACTTTTTTATAGCTTACTCTTTGAAAATAAAGTTTTAAAGTCTAACCAAATATTATTAAAATATTTGAATTCTCATATTTAATGCCTATTTATAAATAAAAAGAATAGCCTAGATTTGGGCCTCTATTACTGTTTTGGACATCCATATTCTAAAGAATGTTTTTTTAGTGAAAAGCCTTCTAGTAGAAATGTCTGACATACTGAAATGTGAACCCTTTTATCACCTTTCTATATTGATTGAATTTTTGAAAACAACTTTTGTCTACCAGTTTCTATTACAGAAACAATAATTTTTTTAAGGTATAAAAAGAATGAAATACTTGCTTCACAGCTTAAGTAAGTACTCGTCATCCATCCATCATTTCAGTCAGACTGGAACTTGTTGAATTGTTACAGTCAGATCTTCCCGGGAGGAAAGCTGGCCCTCAGAGAAAGAGCTGCTAATGGGGTTGAAGTTAGCTTTCGATTTTGCTAGAGAATGTTAACATTATATACCCCACGTTCTATCTCCCAACTCATCCCCTTTACGTCAGTTCTTGCAGAATTCTCCCTCAGCCAGTGTTCTTTACATGCGAGAAGAAATAATCCAAAGAAGCTGACTGAAAGTTTCCATCCAAAGTGGTTAACATATAGAATGTGTGCATGTGCTCTCTGTTCCGACAGTTGTTGGATTTGCGGGATGAAATAGATCTTAGAAGTCTAAGTAGCACCCCGTTGACATGCAGTGTTTTTAGATATCTGTTTTTGCTTTGGAAAGATGTAAAGGTATGGAAAAGGAGAGAAGTCAGCTTTCAGCTCTGTTTGGATATAAAGCTTATCTTTGTTCTTTTAGCCCTCAAAATCCAAATTCGTGGTGAATTTGGGGACTAGGATCTGGTAGTGGTGGAATGTGCAAACACTGAAAGCAGCCATCTCTTTCCCAGGCGAGCCCTGCAGATTTCTTGTGCGAGTCTGCATTTCACAGACAACTGAAAATACCAGTCATCCGACAGAGGCTTTGTAATAAAATGATCATCCTAAGTATCAGTGACTCGCAGTTAAAGCTTTGAAAAACCACAGGTAGAATTGTGGAAAGGGGATTGGACAGGGAATGTTTCTCATTTGGTTTTTTCAAATTAAGCATTATTGGACTGACAAACTTCAAATTCAAGACGTGAAAACTTTAGATGTAAATTCTTTTTGGAAACTCGTTCTTATTCCTTCCTTTGGGAACAATCCGAGCACCTATTCTTAATGGTAAGTAAACACGATGACACTGAGGTCATGATTTTGTATAGGTTCCTAAGTTTTCTATGATCGGCGCTTGAAAGGCCTACAGTCAGCAAATTCTGTTTATAGTACTAGCTGTTTTTCTGGATTACACCTCAGCTTTCCTTTATTACAGCAGCAGAGTCAACGGGTCAATCATGGATGCTTATAAATGAGCCTTACCATTTTTTTGGCAGAACTTGTATCTGTTGCAATAGCGATTGCAAGCATGCTACCACGTCAGATACAGTTCATTTTCGGTATGGATTTGACACCTGCGTAGCTTTGTCTCACAACCCCAGTGGGCATCATGAGGCTGCAGTGGGCACAGTGTCTCATCTTGGGAGTGGTAGTCTGGGTAGTGGTCCCCCCCCCCGCCCCCCCAGCCAAACTTGTTCAGCCAAAGGCCCTGGTTGGGAGTAAGGCACAAAAGCTCTTTTAAGTTGCTTCTCTTAGGTGCGAGCAGGTTTTGTTTTATGACGGCACTCAAGAATTTCACATATATGGTTTGGGTTGTATCACTAATTCACATGGAGTTCGTTTTGTGCAGAAACTATCATAAAATTTTTTTTTAAATTTTTTATTATACCAGCCTGGAAGCCATTTGAGTAAACGCCAGCGTACATCTCTCAAGAGCAGAGCCCTAGACTAAAAGGAAACCATGCGGCGCAAAAATTAAATAATTATACTAAACAGGACATTATTCATAAGCAATGTTGCCTTTTCCACCTTGATCACCAAGGATGGCTTCTGAAGATGGTAACGTGGATGGATGGGCAGGTCACATTGCATTCGTGGATGCTCTCCATTAGGCCATTACTCATGCTTTCATATCCCACTTTTGTAGTTTTGGAAGGATTGTGGAAGCCTAAACTTAGTTTACCCTGCTGTTCTATGTGGCTACACGATGTTCTCTGAAGGTAATCTGGCTTCCATGGGTCCTGCCCCAAAGTTGAGACGATTGATAGCTAATGCTTATAGACCCCACTATATGTCAGGCACTGCTCTGCATACATGAAATGCAGTTAAACTCACAACTACCCTATGAGGGTACCTGCTCTTATCCTCATTCTGATGGCCGTGAACAGAGGCTCAGAGAGGTTAGTTAAGTTGCCTAAGGCGATACCAGCTGTATTAGTTTTGTAGCACAGCCCTAACAAAGTACAGGGGGCTTAAACAAACAAACATCAGTTCAGGAGGCTAGAACTACAGAATCAAGGTATCAGTACAGTTGGTTGTTCCTTCCAAGGTCTGTGAGGGAAGAAACTGCTCCAGACCACGCTCCTTGGCTGATGGATGGACATTTTCTACCAATGTTTCTTCACATTGTCTTCTCTCTGTGCATGTCCTTCTGCCCAATTTCCCCTTTTTAGAAGGACATTGGTCATGTTGGAGTAGAGCCCACTCTGATGACCTCATTTTAACTTGTTTATAAAGACCCTGTCTCCAAACACGGTCACATTCTGAGGTTTGGGGCATTAGGTTTAAACACAGGAATGGTGTGGGCAGGGGAGGTTGCATAATTCCACCACTACCACCAGCTAATAGTGATGGAGCTGGAGTTTGAATCTAGCAGCGTGGCTCTGGGCTCTGGGTGCATCATGAGCCATGGTCAAGTCTAACTGCCCTTTTATGTAACTTACAAAATTAAGTTTATTAAGTAAGCTTAGTCTTGAAAAATGTGTATAAAGTAGCTTCCAGTGTATATGGTAGCTTCTGTATGTGTCCTGTTTGTTTTCAAATGCCAAGACAGCTATTTCAACCCAGTTGCCCTAGTTTTTTTTGTATCGAGAAGGCTTTTTTGTAAATGTATATTATTACATCATGTAAAACATTTTTCATTTTCCCCTCCTTTAAAAATACTCTGCCTTTGATGGCTCAGTTCAGTAAAGGCCTCGTGACAAGTATCAATCTCACTGCACCTGGCTTCCATCTCTCTTCCTGAACACCTCCAAGTCCTATGGACTTGCCATGTGGTAATACTCGGAAGCTTGGCAAAATTCGTAGGATTTTGTCTTAGGTTGGGCTGCTGGAACAAAATCCCATAGACTGGGGGGGCTGAAGCAACAGACATTTATTTCTCATAGTCCGGGAAGGCTGGGAGCTCTGAGAGCAAGGCACCTGCAGATTTGGTGTCTGGTGAGGGCCCTCTTGAGGGCTTGAAGACGGCTGCATCCTCACATGGCAGAGGGAGGGGGCTTTGGTTTCTTCCTCTTCCTATGAGGGCACATCATCGAGGGCCCCACCCTCAGGAACTCATCTAGACTTAGTCACCTCCCAAAGGCCCTACCTCCTGGTACCATCACATCAGGGATTAGGATTTGCACATAGGAATATTGGGGGCGGGGGTTCAAACATTCAGTCCGTAGTAGATTCTGAGAAATCGGGAACCAGCAACAGTTTCCCTCTACATGCTCATGAGTCTATGTTCCTTTGGTTTTAGGTGTTCCCACCCCAAGCCAAGAAATCCTACGGCACACGCTGAACACGTTGGTACGGGAGCGGAAGATCTACCCAACTCCGGATGGCTATTTCATCGTGACCCCACAGACTTATTTCATTACTCCTTCTCTCATAAGAACTAACAGTAAGTGGTACCATTTGGACGAGAGGATACCTGACAGGTCTCAGTGTACCTCTCCGCAACCCGGAACCATAACGCCCTCTGCCTCAGGCTGCGTCAGGGAAAGAACGTTGCCCAGAAACCACTGCGACTCTTGCCACTGCTGCAGAGAAGACATGCACAGTATGCATGCTTCCACTCTGCAGAGGAAACCTGCCAAGGACTGCAAAGACCCCTATTGCCCTCCTTCACTATGCCAGGTGCCACCCACCGAAAAGAGCAAAAGTACTGTAAACTTTTCTTATAAGACAGAAACTCTCTCAAAACCTAAAGATAGTGAAAAGCAGTCCAAAAAATTTGGGCTCAAGTTATTCCGGCTAAGTTTTAAAAAAGATAAGACCAAACAGCTAGCCAATTTCTCTGCCCAGTTTCCTCCTGAGGAGTGGCCCTTGCGCGATGAAGACACACCAACTACTATCCCTAGGGAAGTGGAAATGGAAATCATTAGGCGGATTAACCCGGACTTGACCGTGGAAAATGTCATGAGGCACACTGCACTAATGAAGAAACTTGAAGAAGAAAAAGCGCATCGGAGTAAAGCTGGGTCTTCTGCCCATCACAGTGGAAGAAGTAAAAAGAGTAGGACTCATCGAAAGTCCCACGGAAAATCTCGGTCACACAGCAAGACACGAGTGTCTAAAGGAGACCCTTCGGATGGTTCTCATCTGGATATCCCAGGTGACAGAGAGTATGACTTTTGTGATCCTCTTACCAGGGCACCCAGGGAAGGCTGCTTCATCATTGAACACAAAGGAGATAACTTCATCATGCATAGCAACACGAACGTGATTGAGTCTCATTTCCCCATGACACCAGAATGGGATGTGTCTGGGGAACTGGCCAAAAGGAGAACGGAGATGCCTTTTCCTGAGCCTTCCAGGGGAAGCTCCCACTCAAAAGTGCACCGAAGCCACAGCCATACCCAGGACCGAAGGTCCAGGAATGAGAGATCCAGCAAAGCCAAGGAGAGATCCAGATCGATGGATAATTCGAAGGGCCCTCTGGGTGCTTCTTCTCTGGGGACACCTGAAGACCTGGCTGAAGGCTGTAGCCAAGATGACCAAACCCCCAGCCAGTCCTACATTGACGACAGTACTTTAAGGCCCACGCAGACAATTGGCCATCAAAGGGCTCATGTTTCGTCCACAAGCTATAAAGAGGTGTGTATTCCGGAAATAGTCAGTGGCAGCAAGGAGCCTTCCAGTGCGTGTAGCCTTTTAGAGCCAGGCAGACCACCTGAGAGTTTGCCATCCTATGGGGAGCTCAACTCCTGTCCAACAAAAACAGCTACAGATGACTATTTCCAGTGCAACACGTCCAGTGAGACAGTCCTCACGGCGCCATCGCCTCTGGGAAAGAACAAAGAGGATCATGACACTCTGACTCTGGGGGAAGGGGTGAAAAAACTGCCGCTGTCTGATAGGCAGGCCCCACATTCTTCCAGAGAGCCTGTAGGGCACAAGGAGGAGTCACCAAAAGGGCCAGGCGGAGGCCCAGCCGCTTCTGGCGCAGTGGCTGAAGGGATTGCCAATGGACGCCTTGTCCAGCACCACAGTGCGGAGCCCAGCAGCCTGGACAAGAGGAAAGAGATATTCAGCAAGGACACACTGTTCAAACCTCTCCACAGCACCTTGTCTGTAAACAGCTATCACAAATCGAGCCTGTCCCTCCTCAAATCTCTCCCGAAGACACCTGCCGACACACTGCCGGGCCGATGTGAGAAACTGGAGCCGCCCCTGGGGACCTCGGTGGCACCAGCCGTGCCTGGTTCCCAGCGTCAGCAGGAGTCAGGGGGGAACCAGGAAGCCTCTTTTGACTATTACAATGTCTCCGATGACGACGACTCCGAGGAAGGGGCAAACAAAAACACAGAGGAGGAAAAAAACAGAGATGATGTAGGCACCATGCAGTGGCTCCTTGAGAGGGAGAAGGAGAGAGACTTGCAGAGGAAGTTCGAGAAGAACCTCACCCTCCTTGCCCCAAAGGAAACCGACAGTAGCAGCAACCAGAGAGCCACCCATTCGGCACGCCTCGACAGCATGGACAGCAGCAGCATCACTGTGGACAGTGGATTCAACTCCCCACGGTAGGGAGAGGCATCCCCGCGCATGCACGCACACACCTGTCAGGGCCTGGGGCTTTATACAGATACCTTGAAAAGTTCCTGATCTCAGTTTTAATTCTGTGAATGCGGGTGAAGGGTTGTGTGAGTTGCGCTGTTAACAACCTGTTTCTGACTTCTTTTTCAGGAATTGAAACAAATGTTTCTGCAGCTGTAGAGATCCCCAATCTGGACTGGTGGGTTGGCTCCCTCCCTCACACTTGCATCAGGCCAATCTAACTAGGACCAACATTTTCCAGGATTTTTCTTCTGCGTTTATATTGCCACCGTGCTGATAAAAGAAGGGTTTTTTTTTTTTTAGGTCCTCAAAAATAGTAACTTTTTGAGTAGAATGAGTGGTCAGCAGTCAATTGGGGGTTGGGTAGGGCTTGGGTATAAATTGATTGACTCAAGGACGGGGTCCTTCTAGTGGGAATAGCAGATCTCAACACCTTTCCGGGGGATCGAGATGCTAGTTGCCATTGCAATGTCGACTCTGTGCGCTCCCTCCCTGACCTTGCTCATACACTTCACATCCGCAGCGAAATAGAACCTTGTGTCTCTCACAGAGGCGTGAGGGGCCTGTGTTCCCTTAGATCAAAGCACGTGCCCATGCTTTTCTCTCTCCTGCAGAATTGATACAACCCATTAAGGCACTCGAATCATAGCTGGTAATTCAGCAAAGGGTTAACAGCAGAGGGTGTGCAATGCCTAACGGTCATATCCAGCACACTGAAGTGGTTCGGGGTTAAGAAAGCAAAAGAGAGTCTATCCAACTTCCTTTTTTTTTTCTCCTTAACTCTTCCTTCTCCTCAAAGGGCAACTTGGGACCTAATTCTCATTCTAAATTCTACTCCAGATTGGTGACTCTGAGATGCAGAAATACTACTGAGAGGTGGACATTTCTCATTAGCTGTGATTCCCAAGATTCTACGGTATTGATTATTTTAACAAGTACCCAGATAGGATTATATACTTCATATATTTTAATTATTAATAATGAAACTTAGTTCTGTTGTGATCATTTCACTTTATCTCTGGATAATTTGGGGACAGAACATCCCCAAATCAGACTTGGGAATCATATTAGACCTTTGTTATTTCTTAAAGGGCTAGTTTTTTATTATGATGATGATTATTTTTGCCATGTAACCTTTTTTTCCAAGTTAACACATGTGTGGAAGTCTAATGTCTAAACAAATCACAGAAATGGTGCTCTGGTTAAAATGGGTGTGAGGCCAGGAGCCCCACGTCTCCTCTGCCAGTCCCTCAAGGAGTCCTAACTAACCTCAGGGAGCTATGGCACTCAGTCCAAAAACTATTAGCCTACCTACTAAGTGACTTTTCTACAAAATAACTTCCACTAGGTATTTTTTAAATCATAAATCAAATCTTAATTTATTTACCAATTATTTTGTATATCCTTTTCTTTCTATTTCCCGCTTCTGCTCTTTTTTTTTTTTCCTCTTAAATTTCTAACAGTGGATACCAGAGAGGCATAATTGAAGGTCTGTAATTGATGGTAGATGTTCAAAATCATCGTTTATGGAAGGTGTGGTTTACCTGCCTATATCTTATGCTCAACTGTCTTATTATATAGACTCTGCCTGCCTAGTACAACTAGTTTCTGACCTTGCACTGTGCCCTCTTGGCCCCTACACCCTCCACAAAGGGAAGGCTGCGGTCCTCCAGACATAATTGCTACAGAGACGAGAGTAGTTTAATGGGTTCTAACTCAACAACCTACCACCGCATGATATTGAAAGTTTTTTTGTTGGTTTGGGGGACAAATAAACACAAATACTCATGAAATAGTTGACCCTGTCCTGCCACAGAATGTATTGTTTTATCTCTAAAGTCGGGCTGCAGAATATAGAATTTATGAATGAGATTATTTCTTGAAGTAAGTTTATTTTCATTTGTTTAATAAGGTACTTAAGGTTAAACGCTTTGTCATGGTAAGAGGTAAGATCGTTCTGAGGAGACAACTGTCTCACATTTAGCTACGTGTCTGTCCACTACTGTTAGGTAGAGTTTCCTCTATAGGAAAAGATCGATCGCCCATAAATTTCATGCAGTTAGATCATCTGCAGAACAATTCCTAATTTTGCCCTTTTCATATTTACTATTCTTTGGCTAGAAATTAGGTCACAACTGTTTTTAAACTGTATTTTCGGTACACCTCAGTTAATCGACTAAGTTGTTTTCTGATGCATGAGAATGGTCTATGAAGGAAAATATTTGTGTTATAGGGAGTTTTATTCTCCAGCATGAGGAGTATTTTAGCCAAATAGCATTATCAGGCTGATACTTCTCCACTGCCTCGAGATACAGAAACTTTAAGTGGGCCACTTATTTGAGTCTTTCAGTACATATTCCACTGAGCAACTAAGATCCAGTTACAACAACAAAGACCAAGAAAGGTGATCTCCACACTCCCAGCTTTCCGTGCTGGCTCAGAAGTCATGTTCAGCCACATTCTCAAAATTCTTCAGTCCCTTTCGTTGGGACCTAAAGGGTTTTGAGAAGGAAAAAAGGTAAAAGTTTCAACTATGCTATGAGATCTAATATTGAACACGGAAGTTCTTGACCTGAACAACCTGCGATTCCAAATCTGAGGCCCAAAACTGGTTGACAAACGCAGTGTGAAAACCCGAGGTAGCGAAACTGCCAGGAATGTGTCTGCTTCGTGTAGGGCGCGAGCATGCGCTGTCAGAGCGCGGGGCCGAGGGAAACACACACATCCAGGAGGATGAGCCGCACACCTGCTCCGTTCATTTCTTCTGCTTATAAAATCTTGACATCTTATTGTTAAGGTTGCGCTCCATTGGGTTTCTTTTTCAAGAAAGTGAAAAACTTTTAAACTGGAGGACCATTTTTATTTAATTTTTTTTTTTTAAGATTTTATTTATTTGCGAGAGAGAGAATGAGAGACAGGGAGCATGAGAGGGAGGAGGGTCAGAGGGAGAAGCAGACTCCCTGCCGAGCAGGGAGCCCGATGCGGGACTCGATCCCGGGACTCCAGGATCATGACCTGAGCCAAAGGCAGTCGCTTAACCAACTGAGCCACCCAGGCGCCCCTGGAGGACCATTTTTATTGCTAATGCTCTGTCTCCATTAGCTTTTTCATCATCACACCCAGAACCCTCGTTATGAGGGTCGCACCCTGCACTCGTTATTACAGCAGTAACGAAATATATCCTTTGGAGAAACTGGAGTACTGTATATCTTTATCACTATGATGACTCTGGCCAAAGGTGGTCAGAGGCATCTTAGAGCACAGACAGCTCCCAACTGAGATGATCTTTTGCTGTGATGTGTGTGCACAGTGCCTGGCAGACAGCGGGTACCTGATGAGTGTGAAGCCTGTGCCTCAAGACTAGTTTCAAAGGTTAAGAGGGCTTAAGACCTTAAAATGCATTTTTCCATAGAAAAGGTGCCATTCGTAACGGATGGATTCTGAAACCAACTCCTGGTAGCTCCTTCATTCATTAGATGCCAGATGTGCATCTGAAATAATTAGAATGTATCTAGCTTTTTAGTGTACAGATTCATTGACGCTTATTTCTTCACAATCACTCTATGAGTAGGTAAATCCCATAACTCTCATCATTTTAGAGATGGGGAAATCAAATACTGTAAAAAGTTACTATCACAATTAAGAGTGAAACCGAAGGAACGTGTCACGAAGTCTTTGGGGTTCTACATGTTGATTGCCCTTCTTCCTTCCTGCGCCTGACCTTGTGCCTCAGCTATGGTGCTGGCAAGCCACTGGTGAATTTTCTTAGGGAAGGTGTAAGGCAGGTAAGTAGGTGAGTCTAGCACTTAACATCGCTTTAGTGATGATGTTCTGGGGTATTCTTTAGGTATGCTCAGATCTACTGTAAGCACAATGAAAGAACTTAACTTCTTTCTTTTTTTTTTTTTTAAGATTTTATTTATTTATTCGACATAGAGAGCGAGAGAGCACAAGCAGGTGGAACAGTAGAGGGAGAGGGAGAAGCAGGCTACCCGCTGAGCAGGGAGCCCGATGTGGGACTCGATCCCAGGACCCTGGGATCACGACCTGAGCTGAAGGCAGATGCTTAACCATCTGAGCCACCCAGGCGCCCCAGAACTTAACTTATTTCTGTAAATGTATTAACCTTCTGGAGGTGCTCTTTGCAGTCAAGAAAGATTCGGTTGTCTTTTTGGTAGTCGATGAATAAACTTCCTTTTAAACAATTACCTCTTGGCTCCTTGATGAGAAACAAACTCAGAGCCACAAAGGTTAGGTTGAAACAATCCACTATCTAGGAAGTGCAGCCAAAGTACAGGCATCCCTCGCTTTCCGAAACTTTGTGTTAACATCCTTTCACTTTAAGGAAAGACCCTACATTAGTAACAGTTTTCTTCGTGAAAGCGAAAACCTTCGGATTTCTTTCAGTTAGCAAAAACAGGTACTAATGTAGGTCTTTCATAAAATCGAGGAGACATTAATGGCGAACGTTTGGAAAGCACGTGTATGCGCTTTCTGACATTTAGGCTTAGGAAAGATTTCATAAGAACACCCTACACTCTGAAAGCGGGAAAAGCCTGTGTGGGGTTCGGACAGAATTGCTCTTAATTTAGTATGGGAATGAAAGAGAGGTGGTGAGGATGTCCACTGCAGTAATCTGAGCTGCTGACTAGTTTCAGCAGGCTTAAATCAGTGATGGGGGGGCCAACTCTCAGAGAATATTTTCTAAATTCTGAATCTGCCCAGTCGGGTGAATGGATGTTTTGAGCATCATTGTGATTTCTTCAATCTCTTTGTAAACTAAGTTTCTTATTCCCACTTTGAGGACTTTGAACTTAGAACCTGTTCAGTTCCTATCGATCAGGCCAAGTAACCTTATTTCTGCTATTGCCCTACACATTTAAAATGTGAATATTCTGAATCTCTTAGAGCCATAAAACAAATTCAAGAGTTTCTAACTTAGGAAAATTAAAAGAGAAGTAGAAATACTAAAGCCTTTAAATCACTTCTATTCTATAAGAATCCTTGAAAAATAAAATACTGCTACCAAAGTCGGGGGAGGGGATGTAAACTTCACAAATGGGGCAAATCTAAGATTCCTTATCTGAAAATATAATGTATTTCCATGAAAGTGTTAAAATTTGAAACAGAGGTGCAAAGCCTTTTAAGAAGAATTCTATTCCCATCAGGGTGGCAAATTAGCTAATGGCATGCTTGAAGTCCACCAAAGTCAAAATCGGCTAATCAGGAATGAAAACAGAATCATTAGGGGCAAAAGTGAGTTTATTCATTTATTCAGTGAATTTCCAGCCTGAAATGAAATCATCGCATATGTGTATTTAAGAGGATTCTTTTCTAAAATGAACGCGATAGCTATCTATCACATCAAATTTGGAAGCAGTTTCCTTGAATGGGGAAAGAAGGAGAAAACATTTACAGTGCATCTAGCTGGATGAAAACCCGTTATTCAGGGTGCCACTGATTATAGCGTGTGTGAAACTTCTGGAGCCCACATTGGAAGAGCATATGTGAATAATCAGTGTGAGGTAGTGTATATATGACATCATGAGCCAACAGAGGAAATCCATTAACTACATCATTTGCTCTTCCTCTGGGGCTCAAGAGATAATTATTTATGTTTAAAACCAAACAAAACAAACCCTTTTTACTCTTTTAGCACTCGGGAGAGCCTGGCTTCCAACACGTCAAGCATTGTTGAAAGTAACCGTCGTCAGAACGCTACCTTGAGCCCGGTCCACGGTGGAGCTGGCCCGGCCTTCAACTTCCGAGCAAGTACGGACCCCGCAACCAGCGAAGCTGAGAAACTACAGAAACCTTCCAACTGCTTGCAAGCTTCTGTTACTAGCGTGTGACAGTCGTTCTGCCTCAGATCTCCTGTCTCATTCGATACAGCCAAGTTTACGACACTGGGACTGATGTTTACATCTTGGGAAAGACAAGCATCTCGACCACAGTTTTTGTGTTTACTTAAACTGTGCTGCTAAGTAGGCTAGGGCAAAAAACAAAAATCTTTATTTCAGAGTATTGCTTTTCACATTTATGGCTCTGTAGCAACCGAATAGCAGTAGGGGTGATATGTATACTTTTGCTTCACTACTTGTAACTGAGCACACATAGGAAAGTCTAGACACTGTAAGTGTGATATGCATTCCAATGTCATGAAGTTGCCAATTCCATTTTTAAATGCCACAGATACGTGTTGCTCCCAGTCTGTGGTCAGAGGGTGCCACAGAACTGATCCTTGACACTTCCCCCCCCAGAAAAAGTAAGCCACCCCAAAATGTCAAATACCAGGGTCCACCTTAAGGGAAATCAGTGTCAAACTGACCAGAAGGGACCCCAGCCCTCTGTGTGTGAATTGTTTATGCACCAGTCATTTCTCACTGTGAGTTTTCGTGACACGATTTTGCAGGAGCCCGTGGAAATGTGTCAGAAGGGGTCGTGATCGAAATTCTGGGAGTGTTTGTTTTCAGGATTTTGTTTTTAAGTGTTACAGATGCTTGTCTGATTTTTAACCTTCCATAATCACAAACAGGAATATAGGCCTTTGATTCTGAAGTGGACGAAAGAAGGAGATCCCCAGCCTGGCTGGGACACAGCACTAAGGGATGGAAGAGGGAAATGTGGACTCTAAAGCTGTCAATCAAATATTTAAGGAAGATAATTTCCTCCTTGTGATACTTACGATGATCCTATCTTACTATAATAGATACGATAATTAATTTGTTTAAAAGCAAAATGTTCTTTGTGATACAAATGAAGAGTATGGCCTGGGGATGTTATTCTTTCTAATGGAAGGACATTAATCTATTTTATGTAGTTTTAAATAGAATGCCTAAATTAGGCTATGGGAGATCATTTTTAGTGGTTATAGGAAAGAGCAAAGTTAGGGAGAGTTGACCTTCAGGCCTTTTATTCCTGGAAAGATATCTATAGAGAAAAGTTTAAAATAATTTTTGATTAGAAATATACATGTGCCCATGTAATTACCAACAGAATGTGCTCGTTCTGCAAGTATGGTATAATCGGAACTTGTACTCCCCTAAAATTTATCAGAGTAACAAATATGCATACATGAACTATGCCAGAGTAATGTTTACAGATACTTTGTAACCAATTTCAGGAGGCATTTTTAGGTGGATGTATAGTTACTAGCCCAACTTACTTCAAAATGGTTTGTTAACATTTTGCTTTGGTTTACAATGTCTTATTGAATACAAAGAAGACTCCGCAGCAAAGGGATTAAATAATCGAGCTTCAACTTTACAGAAGAGAGACATTTCAAAGTTCCCCATTTTATTCTGTGAGAACAATGGACTAAATGTGTAGATAGTGAAAAATTATTTGCAGAAGGGTTACATATGACACAAGTAAATGGTCTGACCAAAAGTTTAGTTTAGTGGCATGTGAGCCATAAAACCATAAAATATATATCCAAAAATAAATCTAAAATCTTCCCACCTCAGACTTCAGTAATTGGCATAAAATGTGTGAAACATTTCTGCTTCAGTATTAGGTTCAATCACTAGGGATCTGTTTAAAGAATGCACTCCTATACATAGCTGGACCGATTCTTGAAACATATGGATACTCTCTCATGCTTTTCAGATACTTGGAAGTTGCATTAGGTCAAACTGGACTCATCAAGTTTAGTCTAGATTCCTTTTTGGGTGCTTATAATGAAACGTAAGCACATTTCTTGGTAAACCCCCATACCACTAAAATGCTTAAGTTAGTTGGCTTTCAATCTCATGCCTTATTTCCTCCAAGGCATGCCCTGATTGCCCAGAAATGCACTATTTGTCTCATTGCTTAAATATGTCCAGGAGGAATGATAATCTATCTAATAGACTATACACACAGTCTATTTCCTTGGGGAGTTATATACCATACGGTTACTAAATTCTTCTGGCTAAATTCCTTTTTTTTCCAAAAACCCTGCTCTCGAGTGTTGAATCATACCATCAGTTCATAAATAATGCAACCATTGAAACAATACATCAGCCTCTCGTTCATCCTCTTGAAAGTAGCCATTATAATAATCAAACGCTGTGTGGACAGGAAAGGAAAGCATTACCTTTAAGAGAAGCTTTAAAATAGGCATCTATCAATATTTCACACGATACAGGTTGACAGAAGACATGATTCAAATAAAATGTGTATAGTATTTGCCTGGTGCTATGGGGTACACTGTTTTAAAAACAACAACAAAAACTCCCTTAGACCTGGAGCCATTAGCGTAGAGAAGATGGGCTTTAAAGATGCTACGATGTAAGCAGATGTTCCGTGCGGAAAGGTCCCCGTCTGCGTCTAACAGGAGTCGTGGATGGGGGAGGCGTGGCAGCAGGAAGCATTGTTACAGATGTGACCCGAGATGGTCCTTGGACAGCGGGCGAGCTTCTCAGTGACCAAACCCTCAGCCCACGCCAAGCTCTGCCAACATCCTTTTCCTCCCCTGAACTGATAGCTTTGTGAGACGTGGCTGCTTATCTAGTCTTCACTTAGAGTTTATCAGCTGAAAGGTTTACAGAACTGAGTCTGGTTGAATCTTTGTGTAGCGTTCACCTCTAAAGGGTCAACCCGTCTGTCGGCATTTTGCACACTTATGTATTATTATGATGCAGCGTATTACTTTATGGCAATTTTTATTTTTACATATAACTACCTCCATAAATTTGATGAAGTGGCAGCAGTGTGTTTAAAGTGTATTGTTCGGAAAAGCAAAGTGGAAAACCTCCGTCAACATGAGGCCATGGCGTTCTGTGTGTGTGTCCGTCATTGACCGCCCCTGTGGACTCGTGACTTCTTCTTGGCCGTGGTTTTGTTTTACGGCACTATTGAGCTTTCAGATGTAAACCTGTCTCTCCTCTCTTTCCCACAAAAGCACACTTGACTTTGTTACCAACGAAAGGAAGTTGAAATCTCTTGTCTTTCCCTGCCCCCTCTCCCCCACCCCACTCCTGCTAAGAGTTCTCCCCGGTGAAGAGCCGATCGGTAAACATAATTTAGCAAGCTCTTTGCTCCTGTAAGAATCTGATTTGGAAATTCTAGGCATTCAGTAACTGAAGACACACAACAAATTTGGACTGTGCCGGCTTTGAAGTACTTTGGGCCTCTCTGCCTTCACTCACATGCTCCCATCCCGAGCCCAAACTTTGGTTTAATTAAAAGAGCTGTGTTCTGTTAAATAGTTTGTATTCCATTTTATATATTTTGCACATCTCAGGGGACCTTAATGAGCATATGAAAAGGGGGGTGCCATCAAATAGAGAAGACAAATGGAGGAGCTGAATGGGGACCGACCAGGATAAAAATACCAAATTAGTGCTTCTCTGATGTTGTGGAGTGCAAGTTCAGGAGGCATAAATTGAAAGTTAATCTGGACTAACAGTGATCTGAACACCAGCTGTTCCCAAGTCTCCCTTTCTCAGAGCCCAACCAGCGGTTCGAAGATGTAAATTTAAATTCTATCGCAATCGCCCTGGGGGGAAAAATCTGTTGGACGGAAAGGAAAGCATTGTGCGTTTTGTTTGTTTGTTTGTTTTTTTAGGTTGGCACAGCTTTGTAAAATCCTACCCAGGATAAAAACCACTTACCGCCACCAAGTGTACTTGAAAATAAAGTTTTTAACTTAAATTATAGGCATATAGCTCACAATACAAGAGTGAACCTATTTTGAAGTCTCGCCATTTATAACACGGGCACTATTTGGAGCTTGATTAAAAGCCAACAACAAGCTATCATGACTTTGCCAGTTCATTTTGGGATCTCAAAGTGCTTCCAAAGCATTCAGATTGACAAACAATTAACAAAGCAGATCCTACTCGTAATACCCATACTTGAAATGGACAGACAGAAGGGGGGAACCTCAGATTACCCAGAAATTCCGTGGCAGCTACCAGTGATCTGTTTTCTATCTGTTTGATAGACCATCATGAGAAATCACTAAATACAATGCTATTTTTCTGATGTGTGCTAATAAAGTCGAAGAAAACAAATACAACTGTACACTTTTGTCCATCTTCATTCAAAAAGTTCAGGGTGTTTGGAATTTTACAAAACCCACCCAAATGCCGTTGCGGTCAGAGGTAGATCCTAGACATACACCCGTGTTTACAGTTTCCTATTGGGCTTCTGTAATTCCTGTGCTAAAATTCCATCCTTCAGGAGCATGGCTCTTCCCAAGAGTGGAAGGTGCTGGAACAGAAATTGTAATTAAAAACTTTCTCAAGTACTCTTCACTGTGCTGCGTTAGCACACTAGAAATTCAATACAATATATTGAGTCCCACCTGGAAGAATCCGGATTTCCGAGGGAGCCGACCTAGTTCTCAGTGTGTTCTCAAACTAGGAGATACCAGATCCTTGCCGAGGACCTTCTCCATTGCCACAGGCCAGCCGCAGAACCAGCCGGCGCAGGCTGTCAGGCGCCAGCAGACCCCCAAGCAGAAGTGATCCCATCCTCTCCTTTCCCCCAGCCCCCCCCTCCCCCCACCATCCTGCCCGTTCTCTTCTGTGAGCAGCCAGGCTTCTGCAAATGTCCAGGGCTTGAGGACGCCAGAACACAGGAAGAACGAATGCGAAAGCGTGGAAAGCATTGTTTTGCTTGGGGTTAGTAAAATACAGGCAGGAAGCCGATTACTATCGGTCTGATCTTTGCCAAGTTAGATAAAAGAATCAGCTGTCATTCCGTCATTCTCCCCGAAGGTTTTACAGTGTTAAGGATACATCCAATATTTTCCCATAGATTTTTATTTAGGAGACATTTCATAAATTATATATACCAAAAAAATTCATGATGAAATTTCCTGGCGCGTTTGAAATAGGCGTTGGCATCTCCCTGATTGAGTTAATCTCTGCGTCTTTTGCAGCAACATCCCAGAGAGAGATTCCTCCAGTGACTGCTCCCCTAACACATAATCCTGTGTTTTTACAGTTGTTCTATGACTTACGGTTGCTGATTGGCAAGGTTGAGGATTCTACAAGGCTCAAGGGGGACTAAACCTTCTTATGATTATATATTATCAGTTATAGGGCTTTAATTGCTCGTTGTTGGCCTCAAATGCGAACACACACACACACACTGCCAACAAGGGAAGGGGAGTTTCACAAATGAGGCAGCAAATGTAAGGCTAGAGGCTTGGCTGGTCCACGTACAGCTGCCTACCTCCCTGTCCAAAGGCTGACCTTGGCACCCCCGTTCCCTTGCTCCCAACCAAAAGAGGTACCAAATCTGAGATCTGAGAACTCCTCCAGTATCAGTCCTCTGCAGTTATGGGAAATTCATGAAGTACACACTCAGCAGCTCCTTGCCTGCCTTTCCTCCCAGGTCCTTCCTCCCTGCCTCCTTCCCACTCCCCCACCTAGATACCGATCCACTGGCACGGTTTCCACACCGGAAGGGCAAAACAGTGTGTGGTATTGTGCACACGTGATGGGTTAGGACTAGGGCTGCCCTCGGGTCACCTTCATGTAAGTATTGACAGCTACAAATTAAGGTCCTTAGAGTAGTTGACATAGATACTACTTTCTAGAAGAGAAATTTCAACGTTAAGCTTAAAGGGATCATAATTCTGCAGGTATCTTTCTCTGAGTGACTGAATGTGACTATTGCATTGGGGTAAATGAATTAAGAAGTGCAAGTGGGATTTACTGTATGTTAGAAAGGAGTTTTGCAGCCAAGACTGCCTTGAATAAAATGTGTTTGCACTGAAAAAAAAAAACAAAACTTTAAATTACTTGGTCTCTGGTTGCTGTAAAGGTCATCCAAGATGGATGTTCTGTTTATATTGTATAGTATTTCATATGAAATAATTACAGTTCATGAAATGTCTTCCCTAATGTTACTGATTTATGACAGCACATTTGTAACATGGTTTTTATCGTGTCGGTGTGCCATTTTGTAAATGATGATGGCTTGTCATGCTTAGTATAATAACTTAAAAGGAAAAAAAGCACAGGGATTTTTGTAAGTCTATATTTGAAAGTCCCTCCATAAGGTAATATTGTGTTCATGTTGTTTATGTAGTGTTGTGTGAAATATCCATTTTGGATCGTGTTACTTTTTAAGATATTAAATAACATTTGGTTATATGTCTAAGTGGATTTTTTTTGGTACTTGAGCAAAAATACTTTAGGTGAGACCAATTCATTTCTTTCCTCAATTAATAGGCGTTTGTAACAAATTTTTTATTGCACAATCTTTGTTATTAGAGCTTTTGAATTAAAATAACTGAAAAGGGAAATATCTGATCAGAATCTTTTTCCGGGAATATTGAAAAAACCACAGTTTTTTGGTTAGCTATTCAAATTTCAAAGAGTCAGGCTTAGGGACGATACGCAGAATTGTGTTTTCTGTGAAATCAGAAAGCAGTGGGGTTGGTCTGTTTTGTTAGCCCTCAAATCACAACTTCTATCCCCAAATAAATGTGATCCCCTTTCCAGTGAACACCCAGGGGTTAGCCACATATTCTCAAGTTGGGAATTCCTCCATGTTTCGCTGCCTTCAGAATCTATCAGATACTCTCTTGGCTGTCCTTCCTAGTGGCAAATCTTTGTACTTGGAGAATGGACTCCCTTTTTTTCAAGCCAAAAGTAATCTGCCATCAAGCAAACGATGAAGCTAGGAAACAGCATGATTAATCAAAAACAGTAGGAAGCTATAAGGTTGAGCCTGATTTTCTTGGAAAGGCAATACCCAAAATGGATCTCCGATGACAGTGTCATTTGGATAAGCGTGGAGAACCCAAGGTGACCACTTTGAAGGACAAATCTGATTTTAGTTGTGTACGTTTGTCTATAGATACCTTAAATTGTCTCAATTCAGCCACTTCATTTTTCAAGCACAAAGCTCGGGAGAACAAGAATACTGGAAGAATATGTGGGTTTTACACTAGGACCAAAAGCTACTGTGTTAAAAGCAAGGTAACCGTATGTTCCCTTCAGAGCGATCCAGTGAGCCAGACACATGGAGGAAATGTGGTGACTTTAATAAGAAGATGGAAGTCAGGATTCGGACTCCTTTGAGAGAATGGTCACAGTTCATAAAAATCATTTCTTTCCAAAGGAAATGGAATGGTTTTAACTTATTTTTAAGTGTTTAGAGGGGTGGGATTTTTTTCCTCCATAAGGAAAAGCCAAGCAGAGCACCAAAGAAGGTATTCACCTGACTTTAATAATTTATTTAACTGTGAAACTGTATCCCTACTGTGGGAATACTTGGATTTCATGATATGCCCCCTGTTTGGGCCCAGTGGCTCCAGACTTTTCCTGTAAAGCAAATAGTTAATCATGTAACACATGGAGTGAGTGTGTGTGATGAGTATTCACAGAGCACATTGCACCAGATGGCAGTTTCGAGGAAAATCAAAGCACCTGCCCTCCAGATAGGCTGAGCAGGGTTTTCTGGTGAATCTTCTTAAAAGAACTGCAGGAGAAGTGCGATGTTAAGAGTTAGAGGGAGATACCATATGTTCGGTAAGAGAGGCAAGGTCAAAAATGTTGATTTGGAATTCGAGGGACAAAACTGAGCTGATGATGTTCAATGACGAGCGAATTCTTTCCTCCTGATGTCCAATGACGAGCGAGGACTCTGGGCTAGTGTCTGTGGGTCGGGTGGAGGGAAGGTCCCGGACTTCTGGCCAGCACTGGCCCGTGTAGGTGCCCCTTTAAATGGGTTACTTAGGCAGCCCCCAAATTCCACCCAGCATGTTCCTCCTGGGTCACCCTGCTTCCTGTCTCCCCTGTTTCTCTTCCTTTGTTGTAAAGCTCCACGCATTGTTTTTCTTTTCTATTTCCTTCGGTTTATTTCACTTCATTACTCTTTTCTCCATGCTTAACCAAGAATTTTTGTTTGGTTGATTGTAGTTATGCTTTCTTGTCTAATGTTTGGACTCTTTCCTGGTCTCAGTTATTTATGTATAAATATATATAATTATTTTTATATATATTTATGTATTGTGTATTGATATATTTACATAATATATATATTATAGATATAAAATGTATGTGTTATAATGTAGGATATCTAATAAGTTATATACATAATCTGTATGTAGCTACAATTGATAGCTAGCATTTTAAATTTCATATTTATATTGCCCTATCCTCCTTGGATCCACAGGCCACTGTCTTCCGTCAATCTCACTTCCACTCACCTTTGCACTAAGAGCTGTTTGTTCTCCAACACTTGGATGGAAATCTGCCACCAGCTGATTCATCAAAGGTCTGATAAATCACTGGCAACTTCCAGAGATGATAGATAGGTAGATGATAGATAGCTAGATACTGCATGAGACCAAAGATCTCTGTATCGCTATAGTCTACGAATGGCAATGAAACAAAAGGAGCTGTCAGGCAAGAGGCTATAGTTTGACTTCTGTGTGACTCCCTTTTAATGATGTGTTGAGAATCTATTATCTTGGGAAATTATCTTTGAACATTTTTATACCTGTGCCTCAAGCCAACATCTGCCATTCTTTATTACCCCCTAGGTTGTGTGTATGTGTGTGTGTGTGGGGAAATCCCCCCTGAAAGGCACTTCCTTTAAAGTTAACAACAGCTTCGTGGTTTCTAGCATTTCAAATCTCATTCTCAAATATCTTCCACCAGCATAGCATTTCCCATTTGCCACCCAGCTAGATTGCAAAGGTACCAGCCGTCTGTCTCACCCAGCGTCGCTTCACATAGTTTGTTATTGCTGACAAGACATGCGACAGGTTTACAAATCTTAAATGGATTGGAGATGACAAGGTCTTTTCTTCCCCTTCCTATGTTATTTGATGGCAGTTCATAAGACATCTGTGCTGAATGTCAAAGGATCGATATTCAGACGTGGAAAGTATCAGGGTTTCTAGAGACAGAGTGATGGCCTTGGAAACAGAAGATTCCATTTCCACAGTCAGTGTCCTCCTGTGCTTCCTTCTAGGTCTCTTTAAAAGGGACCGAATTAGGTGGTTTAGGGGTTGCCTGCTGGCCTCATAAGAAGTCAGGCAGATGGGTCTGATAGAGGTTATCTTTTACAATTGACTTTTGTTCTAGCCAATTAATTGGTAGCACTACCAAATGTGTACGCATCCCTAAAGATTTTGGCAGTCAGAATATTTCGTAGAGTGCTTATTTAAAGCACTTCCATTGAGTTTTTAAAGCAAAACTTCTAGAATAGTTTTTGAATTACAGAATTATTGTGCCAATAGTAGAGAGAGTTCCTGTTTCCCCATCATTAAACATCTTGCATTAGTATGGTACAGTGCTTGCAATTAATGAACCAGTATTGATACGTTACTGTTCACTAAAGCAATACTTTATTCAGATTTCCTCGGTTTGTCCCCACCATCATTTTTGTGTTGCAGGAGCCCCATCCGGGATACCACATCATATTTAACTGCTGCGTCTCCTTAGTCTCCTCTGACGGTTTCTTAGACTTTGTTTTTGATGACCTTGACAGTTATGAAGGGGACTGGTCAGGAATTTTGTATAATGTCCCTCGATTTGGGTATGACCTATGCTTTTCTCATGATCAGGCTGGAGTTATGTGTTACTGGGAGCGGGGATCATAGAGGATACCATTCTCATCATACAATATCGAGAGTAAATATAACTTATACCATTGACGTTAACTTTGATCACCTCGCTTGAGGTAATGTTTGAAAGTTACTCTTTCTCGGCTTACATCCTGTCCTCTTTGGAAGAAAGTCACTATGCTCAGCTCCCACATAAGGAATGAGGAGTGAGGCTCCATCTCTTAGGGCGGAGAATCTAAACAGATTATCTAGACCTCTTCTGTACAGATTTGTCTCTTCTTCCGCATTTATTCAATCATTTATTCTTATCAGTATAGATTTCTGGGTATTTATTTTATACTTTGGGTTATAGTCCATTACTACTTGATTTATGTTATTCCTTGAGTTTTTCCAGCATTTGCTATTGATTGCTGTTTCAGTTGGTTCCAGTATCCTTTTGACACACCCCCATTATTGCAGGTGATTGTTACTTGTCTTCCTAACTTCCTGGCACTATAAGACGCTCTAAGCTCATTTTATGTGTACTGCCCCAGTCTTAGAATCGGCCACTTCTCCAAGGAGCATGGTTTCTTTTACTGGCAGTTGGCATTAGAAACCAAGATCTAGTGGTACCAGGCATGCCCACTGCTACCAGAGAGCCAATCTTTTTTTTTTTTTTAAGATTTTATTTACTTTTTTGAGATTGAGAGAGAGATAGCACGAGTGGGGGAAGCAGAGGGAGAAGCAAACTTCCAGCTGAGTAAGGAGTCTGATGCGGGACCCAATCCCAGGACCCTGGGATCACGACCTAAGATGAAGGCAGATGCTTAACTGACTGAGTCACCCAGGCGCCCACCGGAGAGCCATTCTTTCTAGGATCTCTCAGGTGACAGAGCCAGGAGACAGAGGTGTGCATGCTAACCTGCGTATATGCATGTCTATCAATATTTCTATCTGCAGTCATCTGTATCTCTGGTAAGCTAAATGTGGGTTCATACCGATGTATCCCACTCTAATCCATGACTACGTTGATCATTCTAGCCTGCTTATCTGTAACCTTCCCTACTCCAGCAGTGAGAAACCAGGCACCCAACACCTCCATCTCTTTACCTAATTATTCAATTGCAGTATACATGAATAGCAGTTCATCCATTGCATCTTATAAAACTGATCAGGTAATCATGGATAAACAGGGAAGGGGGAAAAATGGAAAGGTTTCTCAACTTAGCCTAAGTAGGCGGCATACTTGATGTGACAAGACAGCGAAGATCATAAGCTTATCAGTGGACTTAACTGGTCTGATAGGATTTTTCTAAAATTTTTAAGGTTCAGAAGGGGAAAGGCCACTACTGATAACATTTAATGTGTATCTTTTCTTATGTCACATTGTCAGTACTGGTAGGGAAAGGAGTGTGCTGACTTCCTTAGTGATAGATCCTACGTTTGGTAAGCCCCCACTTCTTCTCTCCACTCCAGTCTCTGCATATCTAAATTTTAACCACATTTCAAGGTCCAGATCAAATGCCTTCTCTTGCACAAGGGCTTCTCTGAACACCCCTTTCCACTTCCATGCCCTGACAAAAACATGGCTTCTTTTCCCTTTCTTATGGTACAACACTTATCATTCCCAACCTGTGTTCTTGATTCCTATCTTAAAGTCAGGACTTCAGACTCCTGCCCAAGACCATGACCTCAGCTAAACCATTTATGCCATTTTTATGTTATTTATTGGACCTTCGGTGGGGGGGGCACACACACACACCTGCTCTTGTCATTGTTTCTCAGTGGCCCTTAAGAGCTCTG